TTTAGTTTGTGTTATCGTCGTTTGGGCCTCAATTCCCGCGTGTGCGTAGGTAACGCCCTCTCGCTTTAATTTACAAATTTTATCTGTTATTTCATTCACTCTTGCACTTTTAGTATTTTATTTGTGCCTGTGTGACTCTTGATCCAGTGTTAACAAAAAAAGGGTTCAATTTATAATGTAAATGTACAGTGTTGTGACTAATTTGCATATTTATTTGCATACTAATTAACATAATTTATAGTTATATTTTTTTAAATAAACAAGATTTACTGTATACAGTGAAACACATTTAGTTAAGTAAAATGTGATATATTGCCAAAAATATACAAGTTAATACAATGTATTGTTAATTGGTTACAATTATATACAATTCATATCTGAAGTTTTGAAAAAAAAATTATAACTATGAGTCATCATTAAAATGGAGAATAACTTGAATTTGACCCCTTCCCTCCCTATTCCTTTGCTTTACTGTTCCCTTAATTAGCTTCACGCATATGCTGGTAATTTGCTAACAGTTAAACAAACATGGCTGCCGTTAGGAAAAATCTTTTTCATTTATTCCCCAGCTCCCAGGAGCGAGGCTTCTTTGTATTTATTATGGTTTTCATTGCTGTGTCTACGGAAGTTGCATAATGGGAGTGATAAGTTATTTAATCAGTAAAATAATTTTAGCAAAATGAAAACTAGAGTGACTGTGGAGCGAAGATTGGTTTTAATATATTGAAGTATCATGAAATCTGGATGAAATAATGAAAGGAAATTGAACTGAATGCAAGGTCAGAATCCGGGGTAAAATATGCCACAGTACATCCAACATGGCGGCTGCAAAGTATCAACAACTATGGATGTGGTAATAGCCTTGATTTGCAGTTTGCGTGAATTGCTGGGGAAAAAATTGATGCAAATTCTGTGCTTCGGTAACAGTGTTTGCTGCTTTTTTGTGCAATGGAAATTATTACAAGGAATGCTGCCAAAGGACATTCCCTTCTAGTAAACAAAACAACTTTAGAACGTTTATCTTGAGAAATTTAGAAGATGAAAATTGTGTGGGACAGCCGTTTGACATTTGAACACCATGGAAACCAGTGTTCTCTCCAGGATGTAAACAGCGTGGCGGTCCCGCCACAGTGCTTCGATTTGCCGCCACACCGGTCTGACACCGCCACAGTGATTAGCAAGACCACCACAGTGCTTTTTTCATTGGGGATCTCGTCACGCTGGTCGGCCCGACCGGCACTCAAAATTAGCGTCCACCTCGGAAACGCGTCCGACTATTGTCATATTGTTATTATACTTACGTACCAACCGACAAGCATCCTGCCAGTCGTGGATAATAATTTGTAAACAAAAGACATAGTCGTGCGATGTGGTATTGGCTTTAAACAATACAAGTCAATTTTGTAAAATTAGCACCTCTTTGTTTGTAAGTAAATATTTTCTGACGATAGATGCAGTCTTTAGATTCAAAGCTAAAATTCATTCAAAATCAATTCCACCCAATTTAACATGGGCAAAGCGAAGTTCACGATCAGTTTACGCTACTCAAGAAAAAACAACGTGTTTATTGCGTGATTGGGTAAAATACATTTGAACTGTTATCATCGTGAATCATATAAAAATTCTTCTTTCAAGACTTCTTTCACCTTTCAAAAATTGCTAATCACCTCTTTCGAAAACCATCATGCAGTTTTTATCTGAAATCCATACCAACACATCGTGCTACGACATCGTTTTACTTCCGCAATGTAATTTTTATGATCACGCTCATTCGAAAAACTTCGGGTTCTACCGGCATTACCATGCGGCA